CGCTCTTCCAGGTTCGGGGTTTCTTTTCGTCTCCTTCTTCGCTTCTTGTCGGCTCTTCTACTCTGCAATCTTCTCGTTTCAATGAGCAGTTAGCCATGGAAGGACCGAGAGCTAACCAGTCTTTAGACAAAGAAACATTCGGAGTTCTCTCCCGAGTAACACATGGAATGGGTTTCACTTCTACTTCCATTGCCTCCAGTAAGTTACTGACAGGGCTTCTCTCTTCTCTTTCGTCTTCTTCTTCTTCTATATCTTCTGTCTCTCGGCTTAGTGTGTCGAGAGATGCTTTGCTTTCACGTTCGTCTGAGAATTTCTCGACCACTCGGGCGGAAATCTCGAAATCGTCTCTTTGATTCTTGATGGATCTCTTTGTGATCGGGGCCCGTCCCTGAGAAAAATGGCAAAATCCTGTGAAACTTTTTTTTTCAGAACATTAAGGAACAAGAAAACTTTGGAATGACGCAGAAGGTCACTCACTCTCGGTGATCTACAGGCTCGAGGAACCACTGGAAGCTGGTAGCCATTGAAACCGCAGTCCAACATATGTTCTTCGAAACGCAAAACAAGATTGATTGTTTCTTCGATCTGAAAGTGATAACCGGTCCGGTTAGCAAAAAAAACAGAAATCCGAACTTCAAAATCAGATGTAAAACACACGTACGAGGAGAAAAACAGGAGAGAGCTTCAAGATCCTTGTCGTTAATGGCGGTTTGGGTTTGATTTCGGATTATTTGAAGGGGGAAACAAAGAGGGTTTTAAGCAAGAATTGGATCATGAAGAACACCGATGGCCCAAAAAAAACCCCGAAGATGCAGAGAAAAACATGGTTCGGAAAAACACCCGACTTTAAAGCTGCGTCTGAGTCTGTGCGGTCAAAACCCCCATGAAAACCACAAAATAAAATGTCCCGAAAAACACGAACACAGTTTGAGATTACACATGTCGACAATGGAGATTTGTTCTGTTTTTTTTCTTGGCTGAAACTAAATGACGGTTTTCTAGGCATTGCCCTAAACCCTCCGAACAGTTTGGATCAGTTCCTCTGGTTTGGGGGGTGATCCACTCTTTCTCACATCAGCTCTGCTTCCGACACGTGGACGACTGTCCACTATACTTGGATAAAATCCTCATCTCCTTCACATATTCAAACTGCCTAAAACCGTTCTCTGTTGTTTTTTATTCTTTCGAATCGGGTTTTGGATTAAAAAAAGTGTATTTCGGCCACGTGGCAAGAATTTAGCCGTTGTTTACTCCTCAAACTATAAATTTTGAAGACCAAAAAGTTAATTTTCTTATAACTCGTTTTCTTCTTCGTCTCTTCTCTCTCTCACTCGCAGGTTAACGGTTTAACTGCCTTATCCAAAAAGGGAGGCCACGCGCCGTGAAGAAAGTCGATTCCACGTAACTTTCGGCCCAAATATGAATTGGGCCTAATAAGGCCTAATATAAATAGACAAAGGTCCACTTTGATATTTCAGAAATTTCCACATTTTGATCCATTTCTTTGTCCTGGGCTTTGTATCATCGAATTTGAGGGCTTCTTTTTTATTAATCCATTATTATTATTATTATTATTATTGGTGGATTATAGGATTTGTACCAGATTATACTTGTAATATAAATCGTGAAATTATGAATATTATTTAGCAAAATAATTTCTTTTTTGAAATGATATGTACTAGGCAAAGATTTAATATCAAGCCTAATATTATAAGAGATTGAAATCAGCATTGTTTGAATATTTCCTCGTCGCCAATCAATGTTTGAACCATAAAGTACACGTCACCACCATTTGACTATATTTTAGTTGGTCTTGCCAATTTTTATACAATCTTTCTTCCTTTATGTTATGTTTTTTTTATTGATAAAACCTTTATGTTATGTTTCATGTATTTGATGTTATCTTCTCTTCTCTTCTGAACTCTTGGTGTGTTACTTTATTAATATTTTACAATCTTTCATAACACAACAAATCTAAAAATATATTATTAAAGCGTCAAGAATAAATGAGAAACAATATTTTACCAAAAAAATGAGAACCAATATTAATATGATTTTATTGGAATATATATATATATATAATATTAATACTGTTTTTATTAATTTAAATAAATAATTTTAAAAAATTAAGACTAATTTATTGGTATCAGAAGATGAATCCCAAGATAACTAACCTATATATCTCCGTGTTTGACACAATTATAAATGTCCAAATAAAATAATAAAAAAACTAGTGTGAACTAGGTTATAACTAATAAGTCAAATGGCAAATTGAGAAGGGCGATCCACTGAATGTGTAAAATATAATATATTTGTTTATCTTTAAATGAACTAAGTATAATATAATAAATACTATAATAATTTATAAATATTGGGGATTTAACGAGAATAATAAATGCTTTGAAAGAAGTAGGGATAGGGATTAATAAATAATGTAGATTTTTAAATTCCTTTTTGCGCAAGAAAGTCTTGAGGGTCAAGTAAAGTGGTGACCTAAGACCTAACCACCACAATATGGTCAGATAAAAACAAAATTCAATAGATGGAATAATTGTTTATATATATATATATATAGAGATGTATGTATACGCGTGATTATTTGTATATAGACTTCTTGTAATCGTATATATTTTTTTTCCATTTAGGATTGAGAAAACGTGTGAGGCAATCAAAAGCAAATCTGCATAGGTGAAGGGCCGTTGACTGACTCTATTCTCAAGACACTGCAATTTCTAAAGACCTCTCTTTTCCTTTGCGGTGGAAATTTCTCAAGAGCTTCACACCGACTAAACCCAGAATAAAAAACCCTAATTTCTCTCTACCCTATTCAGATTTCTCCTCGAATCCTTTGAATTTTCATCGTCCGAGTTCGATTCCTCAATGGGTGCGACGGAATCCGAAACCGCCCCGATTTGGGGAAATTCCCGTCAGAGAGACAACACCGTATACCCTGTCGAGTTGGAGTCGGCTTCTCGGAATCTGTCGGAGAGACAGAATCGAGTGGCGTACAGTGAAGTGAAGCAGTTCAGGAGTTGGGTTCCTTGGATCATACCCGTTTTCGTGGTCGCCAACGTTGTCATGTTCGTGATCACCATGTTCGTCAACAATTGCCCGAAGAAATCTGGGGATTGCGTCGCCGATTTCTTGGGTCGGTTCTCGTTTCAGCCTACCAGAGAGAATCCTCTTCTGGGTCCTTCCTCGCTCACGTAAGTTTCTAGGGTTCTTTGTTTTTCCCGATTTCATCGCCGTCTGTCCACGAAAGATTTGATTTAATAAAATAAAATAAAATCGGATGGGTTTTGCGTGAAGAAGAAGACGAGTGAAGTTCGAGTGAAGCAGCTGTTTGATTTTGGGGGGAAATCTCGAAATTTCTCGAGATGTGTCTCTCTTTTACTCTGTGATATTGAAGATTCATCTGATTATTTCTGTTTATACGGATCGTATATATGGATTACAATTGAAAAGCAGAGTAGAGAGATTCAATTGATAATCTGATATCAAAGGTTGATTCTTGTCGATTTTAATTGGTACAGATTACAAGAGATGGGAGGTTTAGATGTGAGAAAAGTATTTCAGCAACAAGAAGGATGGCGTCTGATTTCTTGCAACTGGTTACATGGAGGAGTTGTTCATCTGCTAGTGAACATGCTAACTCTTCTTCTCATTGGAATACGCATGGAAAGAGAATTCGGATTCAGTGAGTAAATCTCTCACATCAACTCTTTGTACCAAACTTTCTTGAATCCTTGTTTCATGGCAATCTGGCCGTATCTTTGATGCAATAACATCATTGTTCTGTTGGGATTTTGTCTGTTTCCAGTAAGGATCGGATTGCTTTATGTCGTTTCCGGGTTCGGAGGGAGCATATTGTCGGCTCTTTTCCTCCGAACAAACATCTCCGTCGGTGCATCTGGTGCCGTGTTTGGTTTACTCGGTGGAATGCTCTCTGAGATCATCATCAATTGGACAATCTATACTAACAAGGTAATGAATGACGATGAGATATAAAGATTTGGAAGATTCGGTATAAAGATTGGATACTTGATTGTGTTATTGCTATGATTTGTGCAGGTGGTGACCATTGTTACTCTCGTGGTAATCGTGGTGGTAAACCTCGGTATGGGTGTGCTTCCGGGCGTCGACAACTTCGCTCATATCGGGGGTTTTGCTACGGGGTTTCTTCTAGGGTTCATCCTTCTGATCCGTCCCCATTTCGGATGGATAAATCAAAGACCGGCTCCTGGTGGAGTTTCTTCTGCTGCCTCCACACACAGATTCAAGATTTACCAATGCCTGTTGTGGACCATCTCACTAGTCCTTCTGATCGCCGGGTATACGATATGTTTCTTACGCTTCCGCCTCTTATCATCTTTCGTTTGAAATGAAAATGCATAAAACCTGGAATTCTCGATAAAGCTATGAACTCGGTAACGTCAACACTGACCAGGTCTTACTCGTTCAGGTTCGTGATCGGATTGGTTGCCCTCTTCAACAACGTGGACGGAAACAAGCACTGTTCATGGTGTCATTATCTTTCCTGCATACCCACTTCGAAATGGAGCTGCAACCGCGAACCACTCTCCTGCTCGGTAAGTGAACCCTAAACCTTTAAAAACTTAAACCCTAAACCCTAACCCTAAATGCCAATGCCTCTTAACACGTTTGAATCGAATGTAACTGTTGTATCTATATGCAGACGACGCAAACGGGCAGCCAGCTGAGCGTGACTTGCTTGAACAACGGGAAATCAGGAACATATATCTTGCCGAATCCGTCGAACTCGAGGATAAACAGCATTTGTGTTGAGCTCTGTCGTTGATTAAATCTAAAACCTACAACTCTGTAATTTGTCCTTTCCTGTTTCTTCTAGAGATTATTTTACAAAACACGCAATGGCATCTCGAGCCATTGGCTATTCGTTGTTTCTTGCGTATGTATATATATATATACACACACATTAGCGAACTCATGTCATGTTGTACATTATAATTATTGCATGTTTCATTTTATTTTATTTTTTTATTCTCTAACATATGCTTAATGCTACATGGGTGTCTGAGAAGTAATTTCCTTAATAAATTAAGTATTTTGGGAAAAACTATATCTTTTTAATAAGAATATATTGCTGGTCCATTCTTGAAGATGGAATCCCCTTCCACTAAAAACCATGATAATTTGATAATAATAATGTTCAGATTTACCTTTTTTTTGTTTTCGGACAAAATATCATCAGAGACTTGCAATACTAATGGACTGATATTTTCCACCGTTTTCTCGGGAACCAAACACGGAGACAGCGAGATCCATTTCTTTTCCACCAAAAAACAAAACAGTTTCCGACCGTCCTTCAATGTCGCTCCGGCGAACTGAAACTTTGGTCAGGCTTTATCCGGGAAGAACTTTCCGCTTCCGATTTTTGGATGTTTTTAATGATACCCAGATGAGAAACTTAAGATGTGAATACAGAATCACATTTAAGATGCATTCAATTTGGCATTATAAATTTTGAGGAACTGAAGATATGAATATGGAATCCACAATTGACCAAAAATAATAAAATCTACTAAAAGTGAGAGCAAAAGTGATTTTTCTGTATATTATGCTTAGAGACGTGCAGGATTTGAGGAGAGATTACATAACAATAGTATCCTAAACATAAGGGAAGGCAAGTGCCGAAGACGATGACTTCAGGTTCACGAGCTACCAAGCTGCGAAGTTTCAAGGCGAGGTCTATCAAATTATTTAGCTTCACAGCCTCACCATATTGAGTTGAAATGCCCACAATCAAATATGTAATCTGTATATAATTCACATTTTTTTTTTAATCTGTAAATTCATGAGTTTTTCTAAACCGTGTTTCAGTAAAATTGTTGAAGCTATGTTTTCAACAAATGATCTCGTTAAAAATGAAAAAAATAAAATGTACATTCATTGGGCTACGTGTCGCCGTCTGTGGGGATCGAACCCACGACCACGTGGTTAAAAGCCACGCGCTCTACCGCTGAGCTAAGACGGCTTATGGTATTATAAATCTAATATATCTTGACAATGGGCCTGTAAAAATGCACATTCATTGCGTATGCGCGCAAGTCTTCAACCATGTTTCCCTTTTGGATTTCATTTTCAAGAAAAGAAAAAAAAAACACTTCCTGATGCTAATGCTACATAGAGTAGAGTCGGCTAGATTTACAGTTTTTTATTTATTATTATGAATTGTGTAAAAATCAAATATATAAATCCAATCTAAAAATAAATAACCATAATCTTTTCGAAAACTGAAAATCCGGCAAAATAATTAAACCCAAAATACCTCTTTTATAGGGGCATTTAATCAGGAATTTTATTGGAAAATTTTTATTCATCTGATATCCAAATAAATGAATTATCTATCTAACAATTTGAACCATAAAATCCCAAAAGGTACTAAGACTTGACGATTTTTCATAATATATATATATATATATATATATATATATTTATTGACGCTGTTAGCTAAGCTCATTCCTTAAAGTCATTTTGATAATTTACCTAAAGAACGTCATTTGATTCAGCTAGCAATAAATAATCTCTCAGTTATAAATATTTTAAAGAACTCGTTATTTTGATAAATAAAAATAAAAAATAAAAAGTAGACAAGGAAATTAAATGAAAAAGCTGGAGAAGGAAAAGTGAAGAGCGGGCAGAGAGAAAATGAGGAAGAGGATCTGCCTCAATTTTACAATTCATATGAAATGTCATTTCCCTAGTTTTCTCTGCTTTTCCATTTTTACCCCTCATTCCTTTTTTTATTTATTTATTTTTCCTTCTCCATATTCTTTTTAATTTAATATTTCTTCCCACCCTCATCATTTTAATACAAATTATAATGCTCTTTTACAAAAAAAATTATTTAACTGATGACACTGGACCCAATAAAAATCCTTGCTTCGTTATTGTATTTTTCAGACAATATATAGTAGACGGGTCATTATTACAAGTAATTTAGTTGTGTGAAAATCAAGGCGTCTTTGGAGAACTGTCGGAAGAAGTGGGTGTAACAGTACGATGCACACACATGGAGAATATATATATACATATATATATATATACATATGAATGAATGATTAAAAATTAATTAGAAAAAAAAGAAAAGAAAAAAAAAAGAGAGATGTGACGTGTCACTGACAGGAGGAGAGAGGCTCTTGTGAAGGATTCAGAAGGTGGAGTCCCTTTCAGAGTCTGTCGCTTTGTGCCGCAAAACCCGGACTATCCACAGTCTCCGGCCCATTAGGCCCACTTCCTTTTCTCATGGGCCCCACTAAGCGCCATGTGGCACATAATTTTGAATATTTTTTGTCGCCTTGACAGAATAATTTAATTTTAACAAATGATTAATAAGATATTAAAATCCAAAATTTATTTTAAATCTGCTATTTTAATATATGTATATAATTCAATAATATGAATTGAATCGAAATTGGTAAATTTTGTCTACAATTTTAATTTTGGTTATTATTTGAGATTTGTAGATGTGACAGTGGGAATGGGAAGATGGGATGCTATTTTATATAAAGTCATATCGGCTACCAATTTTAGGATATGTCCATATCGTAGGGTCATATCTATAATAAATTTGCATGAATAAAAAAAAAACAAATTCGACCCATCAAAGCTGCAGTTTTCATATTTTGATGAAACAAATTCAATTTTTATCATTATATTTTTAATAAAATTATCTTCAAAATCATTTAAATTTGTGAATGTTGAGATTCTTATTATAAAATAAAATAAACAAAATTGGCGGAGGAGGGTGCTAACGTGCGCGCGGGAGATGAGGCGCGTGTTAGCAAATAGACAAAACCTGTTAAGTGAAGCAGTGTGGGATGTGATGGAACAACAAAGGAAAAAGATTTCACCTATTGGGCATGCGGGGACCACATAGCCTTCATGCTTTTCGAAAAGATACCCATTCCCTTTTCTGACACGTGTCCCTCCTCCCACCACTTCCAAATTACATATACGTGAAGATCATTTTTACCTTCAACTGTGTTTCAATCAAATAAAATGTTAGTAAATAATAATAAAATTGTGGTGAAAAAAAAAATGACCGAACAGACTTTTAGATCCCTAGATGAACAAATCTTCTCGGACAAGAACTGATGGGAATTTTAACTGCCAAACCAAATCAACGGCCACAATTCCTCGTTATTTCCACCTCATGAAATCAATAACCATAAAAATATTAAATATATACTTAAAAAACAATTACTGTTAAATTTTTTTCACCAAACAATTACTGTGACATGACAACAGCTTTGGTCAAGACAAAAAAAAAGCCGCGAAAAAGGCGCATTTTAACAAATGGGGACGGCGCATTTTAGTTGATCGAAAAACAAGAATGGAACAGCCCAATAAGACAGAGGCCGGGATCTTTTCTCTCACTCGCGGCGAAGATGACATCATGACACGGCCCATGGTGACGTCACTTTGGAGAGGGGAAATCTATCCCCACGCGCCACGCGCGTGCGCTATTTTCACGCCCCACTGTCAGAGAGGGAGAGGGAGAGAGTTTCCTTTTCTCTCCCTCTTTTGTGAAAAAATGAAGACGACGTTGTCTCAGTCGGTAAACCCTTTCCCCTGTTTCTCTCTTCTTTAATTTTTTTTTTCTTCACATGAAAAAAAAAAACTTTTCTTTTATTTTTTTTGCGGTCTCTGTAGTCTAATCGTTGCACGTAGTCTGGTTTTTAAAGCTCCTGGGTCTCTTCCTTTCTCTCCATTTCCCAATTCTTCTGCTGTTTGGCTGACGGGAAAGTGAGAGAAAATTTCAGATGGAAAGAACCGTGGAGTTTGGGATTTTCCATTGGAAGAGAATTTGGTGAGCTTTGTTTGCTCCTTTGTATCATCTCCGATTTCTGCATTAGTATGCTGTTTTTCAGTTTCCATTTTCGTCCCCTCTTGGGTGTGGAGAATCGGTTCGAACCAGATACTTTGGATTTGTTTGGTCCCCGAGGAAATCCAGAGAGAGATATATTCTTATTATGGAATTGTATGATTGGAATCTTTACAAAGTTCTTGACTTTTTTAAGTTTATTCATTCACGACTCCTGAAAACTGCATCTCTTAAATGAGATTTTCCCATGGATTTTGTTTGGTGCCTCGAACCTAAGAAGAAAATCTTATCTAAATTTATCACTTCATGCCTTGTTTGCTTCAAGATTCTAGATTTGTGGGTGGGTTTCGATCTTTTGAGCTTAAAAGCTGGAGAATTTCACTGATGGGTACTAAGAATTTCCTGGTTTTATGGCGACATTGCAGATGAATGATGGTGGGTTCGTGGAGATGGGAAGGGGTGATGTCAGATCCAGGAGATGAAGGAGAGGCAACGTTGGACTGCTGAAGAAGATGCATTGTTACGCGCTTACGTGAAGCAGTTTGGTCCGAGAGAATGGCACTTAGTGTCGGAACGCATGAACAAGCCCCTGAACCGTGACGCCAAGTCCTGTCTCGAGCGTTGGAAGAACTACCTCAAGCCAGGGATCAAGAAAGGGTCATTGACTGAGGAAGAACAGAGACTAGTGATCCGTCTTCAGGCCAAACACGGCAACAAGTGGAAGAAAATTGCGGCAGAAGTGCCCGGAAGGACAGCGAAGAGGCTGGGAAAGTGGTGGGAAGTGTTCAAGGAGAAGCAACAGAGAGAGCAGAAGGAGAGTAGTAAGAGAGTTGAGCCTATAGACGAGAGCAAGTACGATAGAATTCTCGAGAGTTTCGCCGAGAAGCTCGTGAAGGAACGGTCCATTGCCGGTGCTTCTGCATCTTCCTCGACGTCCTCCTCCTCGCTCGTAATGGCGAATTCGAACAGCGGATTTCTCCACAACGACCCGTCTCATAATAACCCGGTGATACCTCCATGGTTAGCCACTTCGAACGGCTGTAACCCCAACAATGTGAGGCCACCTAGGTCTCCCTCTGTGACCCTTAGCTTATCTCCATCGACCATGGCTGCAGCCACTCCTCCACCGCCCATCCCGTGGCTGCAGCCACCCGAGAGGGCAACTGAGAACAACCCGGGATTGGTTTTAGGGAGTATTCAACCAGGTCACGGGATAAACCCTTCAATGCCCGGTTGTAGCAGCGAGGGTCTGTTCTTGGCCGAGCTTGTGGAGTGTTGCAGAGAATTGGATGAAGGGCACCGAGCATGGGCCGAGCATAAGAAGGAGGCGGCATGGAGATTAAGAAGGCTAGAGCTGCAGCTCGAGTCAGAGAAAACGTGTAGAAGACGTGAGAAGATGGAGGAGATAGAGGAGAAGATCAAAGCTCTGAGGGAGGAGCAGAAGACAGCGATGGAGAAGATCGAGAACGAGTACAGAGAGCAGATCTCGGGACTGAGGAGAGATGCGGAGGCGAAGGAGCAGAAATTGGCCGATCAGTGGGTGGCTAAGCACCTGAGGCTGACCAAGTTTCTTGAGCAGGTGGGTTGCAGGCCAAGGCTAGACCGGCCATGACCGGACAGACAAGAGAATCATGTCTGGTGATGCTAGAGATGAATGAGTGATTGGAAACTTGCAAGTGTTGGTTCTTGTAATGTTTATGTTAAGCTTTTTGGTTTGGTTTTTTATTTTTGATTTTTGATTTCATCTCTCGCATGTTTCTGTGACACTCTATCACTATAAACCCAATCTTCTATGGAGATGGGTCTTCTGAAACATAAGTAGTGCTCTTTGAACTTGAACAACAAAAATGGAGCAAGACAAAATTTTTCTTTTAACAATGCTACAAACAGGTTTAAGTTCGTTCTTAAAAAAGTCTTTTGGTCGGAATCCGAGAACAAAACCAACGATCATCGAAACAAAGATAAAACCAGTAACGGATAACCAGAAAATCCCGACGGCTGAGAAGGGTTTGAACTTTGAGCTCAGAAGCACTTCCGGTGAACAATCGACGGGCCAGACTCGTCATACTCTGCCTTCGCGATCCACATCTGCAAAAAAAATCATAATCCGAAAACACATTCAGAGGAAATCCCTGTTCGGTTTTAACTGCGGAGAACTGATGGGAATGCTCCAGTTATAAGGGAGGGTTTGATAGGGGCCTATACCTGCTGGAAGGTACTGAGGGAGGCCAAGATAGACCCTCCAATCCAGACAGAGTATTTCCTCTCGGGCGGGGCAACGACTTTGATCTTCATGCTGCTCGGAGCCAAAGCAGTGATCTCTTTGCTCATTCTGTCAGCAATCCCCGGGAACATGGTAGTTCCGCCACTGAGAACGATGTTACCATACAAATCCTTTCTGATATCGACATCACATTTCATTATGGAGTTGTAGGTCGTTTCATGGATTCCAGCAGCTTCCATACCGATCATAGACGGCTGGAAAAGAACCTCGGGACAACGGAAACGCTCTGATCCGATGGTGATCACTTGCCCATCAGGTAGCTCGTAGTTCTTCTCCACGGCAGAGCTTGTTTTCGCTGTCTCGAGCTCTTGTTCATAGTCAAGGGCAATGTAAGAGAGCTTTTCCTTTATGTCCCTGACGATTTCCCGCTCGGCTGTGGTGGTGAAAGAGTAACCACGCTCGGTGAGGATCTTCATCAGAGCATCAGTGAGGTCACGGCCTGCAAGGTCAAGACGTAGGATGGCATGGGGAAGCGCATAGCCCTCGTAGATAGGGACAGTGTGGCTAACACCATCTCCAGAGTCGAGCACAATACCTGCACAAAGGGCATGAGATATTCCCAAAATCAAACCCTTCATTGATGGATATAAAGGAATCAACTTTACATGACAAGGCTTAGGCTTCACTTACCGGTTGTACGGCCACTGGCGTAAAGGGAAAGGACAGCCTGGATGGCGACATACATGGCCGGGGCATTGAAAGTCTCGAACATGATCTGGGTCATCTTCTCACGGTTAGCCTTTGGGTTGAGAGGAGCTTCGGTGAGAAGAATGGGATGCTCCTCGGGAGCAACACGGAGCTCGTTGTAGAAAGTGTGGTGCCAAATCTTCTCCATATCGTCCCAGTTGCTGACAATTCCGTGCTCAATCGGGTATTTTAGGGTTAAGATCCCACGCTTGGATTGAGCTTCATCCCCGACATATGCATCCTTCTGACCCATTCCCACCATCACCCCTGTGTGGCGAGGACGGCCCACAATGCTCGGAAACACAGCCCTTGGGGCATCATCCCCAGCAAATCCAGCCTTAGGAAACAATTACAATACAATAAATACACAACCATAACCTTAGACAAGACAACATAGTATATGTTGACCCTTTCTCCATTATATGAATTACATTGTACAATCATGAAAAGGTCCGGTCTTTTATGTCGATGGTTATCAACTTATCATTTCAGATCAGATTCATGAAACACAAACCCTATGAGGTTGAAAAGACCAAGACATTGAAGATCACAACTGAACAGAAGTCGTAGGTTTTTTACAAAGAGTACCTTAACCATTCCTGTTCCATTGTCGCAAACAAGGGGTTGAATGTCCTCACCGTCTGCCATTTTCTACTTTCTGCAAAGAAATATACGAGATTTCAAATTGTAAAATAGAGAAACAAAAAATAACAATCACTTTGAACAAAAAAACCTTAATAGCAGAAAAACGAGGAGATGGCGAATATTCCAGATCCAGAATCACATTACAGATTCGATGCCATGAAATTAAGTAACACTAACCAGAAAAACGAGAAAGATGATTAAAAGCCAGAGGAAAACATCACACTGTCACTTCAAAATCGCCTGATTTAAGCAAATGTCGATCTACAAAAAGCGAGGGATTATTCACGCAACAAACGCAGATCGAGAATCCACTCATGGGACCCGATTGATTCAAATCATCACAACTCTAAAACGAGAACCCAGATCGAGAAATCACGATATAAGAATCGAAATGGCACTGTAAATCAAATCGATGAAGCCAAATAATGAAACTCAGATCGAAAGGCGCACGAAGGAATCCGTGTTCTACAGGAAATTGAGAGCAGGAGACGATAAAAGCTTCTCGGAGATGGAGGATCCGTCACCTCGAATAAGGGAATAAACGACAATGGAGAGCAATGGAGGAAGCAAAATGAAGCTACAGAAATGGGGGAGTAAATAAAAAAACGGGTCCAAAGGCTTCGAATTCGGTTCACCTCGTTTTCCGGTTCTATTTCCTGAAATTACGTTTTTGTCCTTTTTTTCAAACCCGAACAATTAAAATTAAATATCCCTTTTTTGTTATAAATTTTTGAAACTTAAAAATAACCGAACCAAATTAATCATAACTATATAAGTCCCCGCAACTAAATAAATCGGAATTTAATTGTATATATGAACCGTCCCATAATTAAAGGCATACACGAACTGGACAATTCCGTATTTGGGCTCAACATAAGCCCATTAAGTTTTCGAGTCCAGGCCCATGTTTTTTCACAGCTCCGTACACTACACTAAAAAAAATACTATAAATCTCTTTTTTTTTTTAAATGGATTATTATAAATTTTGAAATAGTGTGTGTGTGTGTGAGAAATGGCGTAATACAAAATATTTTATCAATCCTGCTCCCGTAAGGTTATTTTGAGATGTTGATAATTATTTATAGGTTATCAGTTTTATTCAATTTGCATCTGGTTTTCTTCTTCTCAAACTTTGTTCATCTTTTAGATTTACACTTTCCATTTATTTCTCTAAGCCTTTTCAATCCTTTTTTAGTTTTCATTTTTATGATTTTTTTAGTTCCTTTACCTTTTTCAAATCGAAAGCGCAGGGGAAATCTGTATTTGATATTTGGAATTCTTACCACATTTAAAAAAAAAATATACTTGACTTGAATTTGATGAAATTCCATTATTATTATTAACTAATAGAAACAAGATTCTTTCTTGTCTGATTTCTGACCTTTTTTTTGTCATATGTATGTCTTGTCTTTTGTTTTTTTAAAAAAAAGAAACAATAAGTTTTGAGATTGAATATAAACGCTCAGGTACCATGACAGATACGCATGCATGTACTTTGCTCTACGATTAGAATATTAAACACAATATGTAAGCTAAATATATAACTCTTCCCATTCTCAAAACTCCCATCCATAAATACGACACAATATTTTTTTATACATAATCTTCAAATTTTGTTTGAGTACAATAATTTTGAAACCATTCATATGTTATAATAAATTTGTAAAAGATTAAAATCTATACGAGTATCCAAATATTGTTTCGAATACTCGTACCTCGAATATACATAATTCTTGAATCCGAATACAAATTTTAAAATGAGATATCCAAACTTTATAGATACAAATCCGAATATTCTGATTGGTGTCTAATCTAGATCTTAATAATATAATTATTTTTATCAATTTTTTATTGGGTATTAGAAATTTCAATGTTAGTTGATTTTAGATTATGATATCATAATATAAAAATGCTTTCTATATATACACACACACATCGAATTATATAAGCATAATACCTACTATAATTATAAATTATAACACCACATTTACCTTGTATAGATCAAGTGAATAATGTGTTTATGTTGTTTAATTTGGGATGACATGATCCCATCCCATGTGGGAGGAATCTAACTATAAAACGAGAGCTCCTAATATTGGATAGACAATTAAATCATTGTCAATATGGGAACGGTTAAGCATATGAATAGAGAGAATATTCACCGTTTCCATCATTACATGCAAGGAGTGGTCCAAAATAATGGAAACACAATGTACTGTTCCTTGGGTGTAAGGGCTGAATAATGATATTTTGCAGCCTTATTCAAAAAGTTGAAATTATGGTAGCAACTCCTTAACAACACCCACATATATATACATACATATATATATATTCTCACGTGAAAAATCTTTTTGATTTTACCAAAAAAATTCTTGTTGATATATAAACATATAGGGGGTTTATAGTTGGGGGAAAATATTAGAAAAGGCTAGCAATCACACAAATTTTTTAGTTTATTTTTAATTCCAATATATAAAATATACACTCGACGGATATTTTAAGAAAATATTATTGATGATAATTAGTATTATGTATTTATGATACAATATTTATAAAGGTGATTTAATTGTTTGATATAAATATCCAAGAGACAAAATCGTATATAATTATATGATGGTATTGACTAGAACTGTAAAATTGTTCAAATTAAAATATAAGCGTTAATATCCAAATTTAATGGAATAAAATTGTTAAATGAGTGATATAATTTTAGAAATGTTTCTAAAGCAGCGGGGGTTTGGGATGTCGAGTAGGATGTTGATGCGTGTACAATTATATATATATATATAGGTGTGTATATATGTTTGTATGAATAATAGAAACATGAAGACATTAAATATTGTCCATGTGATCCACCTTTACGAGTCACAACCATACAATCATGTCCATGTGATTCTCTTTGATTCTCTTGTTGCACAATCATACATATATGGGGTATATATGTGCATATATACATATATATATATATATATATATAATATAGGTTTATTCTAAATGGGTATAACACTAAATTGGTAAATAGAGTAATTTATGGAGGACCCGTAAGTGGAGAGATGAAAGCGAAAAAAGTGAATGGTTAGGAAAATATGCCCAAAGTTTAGTTGTATGCATTTTTAGTAAAAGGAATCCAAAGTTGATAAATTTTAAGGTAAATTGATTTAAAATTATTATAACAAAAATAAAATTATTGTTAATTCGATACATAACTGAAAGCGAAAGGACTGGTGAACGTTCCCCACGTCTTTAATTATATTCTAATTTTGATTTATTAGTAATTAACTAATTCACTTAATGTTAATTTGTAGGTTCAAGAGTGGTTCATAGGTTTGGTCAGCAGTCAAGGCAGATATTTATTTACTCAACCATTTTATTTGCTTAATTAATTACGGATTAGTGCCGACGAATTAGATAAGGATTAATTAACATAGCAAAATGAGATCGAATTTTTAATCGCATCTTTTATATCTCTTGTTTCAAACAAATAATAATTTTTAGTTAACTAGATTTTTTATGTAAAAACTGCAGTATTTAAGTGGGAAACTGCACAAAATATGTCTATTTTGAAAGTAGACGTATTTTATAATTTCTAAAAAATAAATATTATGATGGTTGTGGTCTGCAAGTCACGAAGAAGATTAAGGAATGACTTTCCAAATCATTATTTGACAATTTTTCATGTAGTTATTGTTTTATAAAATATATATGAACAGTTACTATAATCTAATTTGTATATAATTACAAATTATGTATTGATTTGTTTCATGAAACGTCGCTATAATTAGTATTTATGGACTATTAACAACACTAGGTATGACCCGCGCGATGCGCGGTTTATTCTTTTTTTTTTATTGTTATTTTAAATATTTGCTATTTTATTTTAAAAAATCATTTATATGAAGATAATAAAAGTTATATATCGATCTATATAGAGAAGGGAGAAGATGAAGGAATATAGACATCATTATATTATTATATTATAAAATTATTTTTGTATATATGCTGAATACTAATTTTCTATATTTTTTACGGTGAAATATGTATTTAATCAATATAATATGTCAGTTTTTTTATATTTATGTATATATTCACATAATAATAATAATGATGGTGATGATGTTTCACACTAAACAATTCAATACAATTTTCTATAAAAAAATTAAATGGTAATAATTTTTTAAAAATTGAATCCGAATAAAAGGAAAAAAATACAATAAAATTTAAATATAATCCAATAAAATAGAATCTCACGTGAATCGGAAATTTATTTGTTTTTATGTTTTTGTTTAGTAAATAAAATTTAGAAAAAAAATTTATGCATAAATAATAAGGATTATAAACCAAATGGATACTAAAGGTATCGAAGCGTTTTTTCAAAATAGGATTTTGGCGAGATGTCGTGATCACGTATATTAGTTTTGTGTCACGCTCTTCTATGTTCAAGAAGGAACAACTTGCAACGACATGGAGAAAGGCGTGCAAAGGGATTGGTATGAAAAGATTTATGATTGAAGAATTTTGAGATCAAATGCTAATGGAAAAGGTGGTTATGATATATATAATTTTTATACAAACAATTTTCTTTTTCAGAATATTTGAATGTGTTAAATAAATTATAACTAAATAAATCGTGTATAAATCTTTTTATCTACTCGTTTTTAAATTAAAAGGAGATGAATTTACGAAGTGGTTATTAGGATATAATCTATAATAGTGGTCTTGGGAATGCGTTGAAGAGAGATGAGATGTTTCGTATTGTTCAGGCTTTCAATTTAACCCATTCGTACCATCCATCCAAAGCCTCCTCTTTCACAAAGTCGAAGTTATACCTACAAAAAATTTCCATATTATTTTTTTATTAGTTGCTAAGTATATGTGAGTGTCTTATAACGTAGATCTTTATCACCATGAAAAAATTTTCAAATTCAGCTTCTGTCATAGTCGACAACATCCCACACTGGCGCTTAGTTCCTCGTTGATTCCATGAATGGATCAGCAAGAGGTTGATGGTCATCGTAAGTTATCCTCTCAGTTGGGATTTTGACAATGCCCTCCGGTCAGCGAAATATGACCGACAATGCTGCTTTGCAGCGGCTCCCCCAAATCCTTCGGTATAAATCCATCGCCGATTGTAAGTTTTTACCGGCGAATAAAGTAAATTCATTGATTATCCTTTTGCCTCATCCTCAAGGTTCCTCCGCTTCACAGTTACAATACATCAACGTCGTTTCATCTTCCTCCACCGCTTCGCACTCTATCCTACTTCTCATATCCACCTCCATCGGCGCCAAGTCATAGCCATAACCTCCTGGGATGAGTTGAGAATGCTTAACCCCAAACATTGATATGGTAACCACAACTATGATGTGGAAATTTAAACTTTGACCAAACATTGTCACGTCATATGTCACGTAATAAATAAATATCATATCATTTTTTTTTAAAATTCTCAACAAAAAATAATCAAATATAAAATAAATATTAGATACATATTGGCTCTGAAATTTATAGAAATTATGATAAATTTTTTAAATTTTGACATAAACCTACATCCACTCTAACGTTGCTAATTATTTAACGGACACGGTGATATGTCATTGCCATATAGGAAAAATACCATATCCTCATTATCACATGAAAAAACCTCAATTTAAAACCAAAAACAGAAAATATAATGTATATATATTCATAAAAAAATAAAAATATTAAACACATATATATATATAGACATATATATGTGTATATATATACACATATTAATATATATACATATATTTACACATATATACATATAAATATACATACACACATCTAAGGTTCATATTTAAAGAATACCCATAATTGATTTTAATAATTTGCTGATTAATTTATTTGTGTCTACGTCAAATGTAACAATTTGTATATGTGATATTTCATGGTGCTGCTTTGTACAATATTGATTAGCAACACACGTTTTTTCCAAGCATGATTTAATAATTCCACGGAGATTATTATTCACAAATCAATGCCGTAAATAAAAATTCATCTCTAAATCCAGCCAAATTGTTTTCTCCCAATTATCGACTACTGTTATTTAAAGTATCTTTCAAATGAAAAACCCAATAGAACCTTGGGTTCAAACATTTCAATAGAATCCCTTGAATGATCGTCTTATGTTCTTTTTGTCCGATACATGTTAAAGATGTGATTTCCACCTTAACATTACAAAAAAAAAAGGAAATCTACAATCCCTTTTTTTTTTTTTGTAAAAGGTGAATCTATCTATTGAATAAAAATATTTTTACAAAAACATCCAGCAACATATGCTGTTGTAGAAGAAGGATTGGATATCCATGTCACAAACAAAATATGATGCACCGACCTTTAGCAAAGAAATGACAAACAATTCCTGCAGGTTCTCGTTGAGGTTCCTTAATTTCACCCACCAAGGGAAAAGCTTCTCGCCTTTATTTCAGGTATATGGAATTAAAAAATTAAAACTGTCAATGAGAATGAATTACAATTTTAAAAAAGGAATACACATGAAGTGAATGTCTAAACAGTAATGTGTAAAACTATCATGCATGGTTAAAAAAAGTTATTAAATTCCATGCAACACGTTGAACACAGATTGTAGAGAAACAAAATAATCTCACACCGTGAATTTGTGTAATTACTGATTGCATATCTTATTATAGCTTATATCATAAATAGTTAGTTGGGGAAGCGAAAAAGAAAATAAAAACACTTGTCATAGTCTTTGACTCTTTGTAGTTGACGAAGAGTTCAATGATGAGATCGTATACATTGGCGTATATAAAGTTGCCATCGTTAAATTTGTTTTAATCTCAAACCCAAGGGGTACACCATAATGCCCATTGAAGAAGCCTGCAACACTCAATAGGTTATTATATATCCATTATATATATTATACGTATTGTACAATAATCCACATATACATACCTTAAGATGTGGAGACTCCTTTTTGCTCTGCTCGAGAACCATGCAAGAGAAGATCACACAGACACACACACACATATATATATATATATATATATAGTAAAATTAAAATGGAAAATAAAAAATAGATTTATAGTTTAAATCCAAGAAACATGAGATTATTGATAGAGAAGAATAATGAATTTCATGGTTAGAAACATATACTTTTCATTGATGCACATATATACATATACATATATATTACATAAATATATGTGTATAAATATGTGTATATGTATATGTAAATAATATGTTTTTTGTTTTTGACAAATATACTATTTGTTTGGTTGAATCATATTTGTTTCACTCATATTTTTAAATCGGTTTTTATTATGAAAGATGTTTTTGAGAGCGACCTATAAATTTATACAAATCTTTCGATCCATGATTTCAAACATAAGAGATACAAAATTTAAACCTATTGCTCCTCCACCTTTGTTCTCACAATTATCATCAACTTCATCATGTTCATTATCTTCGTCCTCCCTCTGTCTCATCCAGTGAGCATTCATCACCGCCAGATTCAGTTCCTTCCTGATGCAACCTCACCGGCCTGAGAAACACTACCACTGTCCACGTAAAGCTGACTGCTCTTTAGGAGTGGATTTCATCCCTACATCTCCATAAACACCAAAACATTAAACATAAAACAAATTTCGAGACATACACCTTAATTAGATCTGACGGATCTAGGGACGAAAACACCGATTTCGAATCAGTACCATCACATGACAGAATTGAAAGGGTAAGATCAAATCGAATCACGCGGCTCCAGGGATGGAATTCTCTTCTAATTTAGATCCGAGGATTTCTGCAATCAAAAAACGTCAGGTAGGTGAGATAACTATAACCAACCTTATTAGAGAAACACCTAAAAAAATTATAGAAAACTTTTAATTAAGATGGGAACATCCGATTTTGAAGTTATATAGAGACAATAATATAACAAAGTTTAATTAATCACAGAAACGCAAATATTAATTGTTAATAATACTTGGCCACCGTTTTTTCATTTTGTGGGTTAATGAACAGTCTTTCCACAGTTTTTTGTTTTTTTTTTAAATAAAAAATTAATTTTGCTTAATATGGTGACCAAATCAATTTATTAATAAAAAAACGGTGGTCGTATATACATAACGTTCTTTTTCACAGGTGAGTTGTTTAGTATTATTATTTTTAATTGCAATTAAATGAGTCATGTGACTATTCTTTGTCTTTTTTAAAATAACGTATGTTAAAGAAATAACGTACATTTGTACTCATATTGTTCTTCTTAATTATTATAATCATAATTCTAATACAATAACCAGCAATAAAATTGGATTTATTAGCCATAACCAATAAATTTTATTAATAATGACATTATTTTTATATAGTTAACCAATTATAATTTAGAGAATTGCCACATAAGATGATGATGTGGCTTCACCACAATCCTTCAAACATAATTATTAATATATATAGATTTTTAAATGCAATCTTGCGAAACAAATATATGATTTTTTTTACATAAGCACATAATTACTTAAAAAAATTCAATACAATTTTTAAATGTTATCACAAGTTTAATAAAATAGTAAAAATAATAAACTAGAGTTGATATATATGGACTATTAACAACATTTAAATATCTATATTTTGAAAATTTGGACAAAAACATGGTATATTTTAACAATGTTGTTATTCTAATATTGTCATTTTGAAGTATCATATATTTATATGGATTATAAATAATTGACATATGCATATATAAAAAGAGTTCTATGCATCTATTTGTAATTTTTTTACAACGTAATTTTATGGGATTTATGCATGTAAATATAAAGGTACGATAATTAATTCGTAGATGGGAATCTAATTTTAATTAGGTGGTAATAAATCTGGGTTAGCTGCAAAATCAAAAGGAATGAAGGAATTGTACATTAAATTTAATTAATCTCTTTTAAAAAGAGGATTAACTCAAAAAGCGCACATGGAATTCGGAAACGTAAAGTCAGACGTCGGTTTGGTGTTTACTTGCGAGATGCAGAAAGGCATCGGCGATACGGTATACGATATATTCGTTCAATGCGATATCATATCTCCGAGATACGAGATGTATGACGTCATCCCTCTCGTTTATACGGAGGCTTTGAAGCTCAAGGCTTTGGGATCTGTTGCTCAACGAACACAATAAACTCGCTCCAACCTCCGTCTCTCTCTCTCTCTCGGGAGATTATTTGTAGTTTACAGAGAGAGAGAGAGAAAAAAAAAAAACCTGAAGCCCAAAAAAAATGTTAAAAAATGGTGCATAAAAAGGAAAGCTGACAGTTTTCATGATTGTTATTCCATCCCACGTTGGATCTATCCACATCAATCTCCTCCTTCTTCTTCCCTTGTTACTCTCTCTCTCTCTCTCGCTCTCTCTCTCTCTCTAGAGGACAAAGACTCGAAACACAGAGTTTTCTTTCAGCATTTTTGTGAGATTCTCCAGTTTTGAGATTCTGGGTATGTCAGAAACGAGTCGTAGCGAACAACTCGTAACGAGCCGGGTTTCATCGCCGGAGGATTCAGATTCACGCTGGGAAAGAGAATGGGGGAGCAGAAATGAAGCAGACAGAACAGATGAAGAAGTTTCGGACAAACCCTTGTCCGAAATTTGCCTGAAACGGAAGAGATCAGACGGAGAAGATGATGATAAAGATGGCAATGTTCGTCGCGAATCTGACGACGACGAAGAAGAAGACGGATTCAAGACGCCGACTCGGCCGGTAAACAGAGTACCGGAGATCTGTGAGTGTCCGGCGGCGCCGAGGAAACAGAGACCGGAGCTGTCGGATTTTGCAGTTAGTAAATGGGGGTCTTGCCGGAGAGACCCTGATTTTTTGCCGGAAGATATCATCGACTCGTTTTTCACAGATTTGCAACGACCCACGACGACGATGAAGAAGAAGAAGATGATGACGACAGAGAAGTAGAAGTCATAGATTTTTTTTTTATATATAAAAAAAAAAAGAGATCTTGTGGTTTTTCATGGACAAGCTGATTGATAATTATTTTGATATTGTTTTGGGCAGTAGTCACATTTTTTTTTTTGCAGAAGGATTACTTATATATATATATATATTATGTTGATCATATTATAAACCGTATATTTGTTTCGGGCTCTAGTATGGAGTTTAATTTTATCGAAATGGTTATAAAGATTAATGTGAATTACATAATTTAGTTTGGCCTGACATGGTAATTTAATTTTATTGAAACCAAATGTTTTTTTTTTTGTATAATTTTTTTATACCAAATGTTCTGCTATGAGTACAACTATTATGGTCTCACCTTAGCACCTTCGCTCTGAAACTTATACCATAAAAATAATAATTTGATCCATTGATATCAATTAATGTTTTAAGAAACATTAATAATTGTTACTGGAAACAATGCCGCTAATGGAGCATTTGTTTTCTAATTCTCTGTACATTTGTGATAAAAGTATTAAGTTTTATCTTTGGAATTAAGTGCAAGAAAATGAATAGAATAGAATTTTAATTATATTAAGTTTGAATTTAATTTATAATTCTGTAATATCATTTAAATTAATATAATTCGAACGAATTGAATATGAAAAATAATCGAAAAAGTTGAAGAAAATTTAAAAAAAATAATAATTACATTTTTTTTAATAAAAATTGGATGTAACCCGAATTATCTTTGCATAGATACCTAACATTATATATTTTTCTCGGAAAAAAAAATCCAAACCCAAAAAAAACACGACCAAAATCCGAAATAGAGATATTTTTTAATTCTACATTTTCGTATATAAAATATTAATATGTTTCAATCATTTATGATATAATTGTTATTCTTTTTGGTTACCGGAAGGCAACATTTTGGAGCGCAAAGGACGAAGATGATATCGTAAAGGCAAAGGGAACAAACAAAAGATGAAGAAGGAGAAGTGACAAGAAAAAGAGATTGATGTTGATTTTTTTTTTTATTACTGTTCACTTGTAAAGTAACATCGTAAACTAGAATTTGGGGAAAAGCCTCGCATGACTATGTGCTTAGCTTCTTCCTTTTTTCTCTCCCTTGTGACTTTTTTTTTTAATGGATCTTCGATTTCTTTTAAAGAACATATTTATTTTGCTTTTATTTCACTTATTTCTCCTTGTTTCGTTTATTTTTCGAAGGGATGTTAAACGGGTTGGCCCGACTCACCATCAATCTACCATTTTTTTGTTCAGATCAGATCAGATCGTTTGTAAATAGACTCAAATTATGCGGTCTTAGATGGATTCGTCTAGATCGTGGGATAAACGAGTCGGTTCGCAGATTAGAGAAATAAGGTAAAATGATAAACATATTAAAATAACAAGTTCATTAGAGAAAAAAAATCATACAATCCATTTCAAATAATGTCTGAAACCATAAAAAAACGATTTTAGAATTAAAAACATTCAGCCCAATAGAGCTGGGCACGATATCCGCGTTTTTGGAAATATCCGTCTTCGTTTTCGTCTTCGCGGTTTTTAGAGAAATGTTATCTTTGTTTCTATCTCATAATATCCGGGTACCTGACTAACGGGTACCCATAACTAAAAGACGAGTACCCACGAGTACCCGTACCCGTATAGAAAATATTAAACAATATAAAATTAAACCAAATAATCAATAAAAAATATACATATTTTATTCCAAAAATATATTTTTAAATTTAAAAATTATTAAAATATAATAATATACATAGAATCCTAGAAACATTTTAAAAAATACACAATAATTTGAATTTGAATCCATCAAAACTTGAAAATCTAATATATAATTCTAAAAGAAAGTAAAAATAACTTAAGTATTTTGGAAATTATATTTAAAATATAAAGTTAAATTTGTAATTTTAATATATATGCGAGTATCCGCGGGTACCCGTTATTTCCATATATAAAATTCTAGTTTTTAATAATCGTTTTCGTCTTCGTCAAATGTCGAGTATCCGTTTTTCGAATACCCGTGAGACTGGATACCTGTGGGTAACCGGTTTAAATGCCCAGTCCTACACCCCAAGCCGAATATTATATATATATATAATCATTTTCACATTAAGCTCCTTGCACCACAATGCATGTTAGATGACGTGTGCAACTTTTAGCCCTTTATCGATAGTAACTAACATAATTTTTTTTACCTTTATATAATTAGTTGTCTTTATGCTAATTTCTCCACATTAGAAGGTATAATAAAAAAAAAACACAATATATATATAAACGAACCAAATAACGAAATTGACACGTAATTTGCACATTAATTAATTAGTCATGTAATCCATATATTAGAGAGCAAAAGGAAACGCTCAAGTTGAGATTTTATTTAAGCATCACGTGCATGGCGCAAGCAATTATGCCTGCAAGAGCCAAACATACTTCCACGATGTTTGGTTTATGTTATTTTCTGATTCCGACAAATCTATATCAAGTATATATAATATATACGAGTAGTATATTCATATAACCATATATTTATTCACAAAACTTTTATAATTTCGACCTTCCCCATTCATATTTTTTTACCATTAAAACATGATCTGCACATAAAAAAAAAGCTGTATTTAACTAGACATTACATAAACAAATCTAACATGCAAAAAAGTTTAGGAAATAATTAACAAAATATAGAGAAAAACGAACAAATAAGATTTTTCTGTTTTCCAAATGAAAGAGTAAATTGGTTTTATAACTGGTAATAACGTAAATTTTGTTAGATATTGTTTTGACCATTATCGTGTCGTGCCCATCAAAGATCTAATCTCATAAAGTCAACCGTTGACTATCATTGGACATATAAATGGGGCCCGCTTAACATCTCCCGATGATCCACGTGGCAAAATATAGCCCTTCGATTTTACAGATCGCACGGCGTAGAATCCTCTAGACAATCTTGCTGAGGACAAATAAGGCGCGCCAATATTATGACTGGAGTTTCATAATTATCATTGTAATGTGATTAATTTAATATACTTAATTAACGTGAAGAGATGTCATTCGAACGAAACACGTCTTGAATTTTTCTCCATCGTTTCCCGATTTGCCCCTTCGCTCCATAACGGTAACGATTCCCTGGTTTTCCTCTCCCCACCCTCTCTCTCTAAACTTCTTCGGAGAGAGAAAATTTTGAAATTAGGTTTCGATCGACCTTCGTTTTCATCTGAATTTCATGCGATTTCATCTGAGATTTCGAGTGTTCTGGGGAATCTGTGATCGGATTGCAGATCCGAGGAGGAAATGGAGGTGGCAAATGGCGGAAAGAGATTGGGTCGGAGGAGGACGATGACGATGAACTGGGATGAATTGGGGGATTTCGATGATGAAGACGAGCGGTTCTTCGAGGCTCACGGTCGGATCTCATCTGCCTTGTCTCTGGACTTGGCGGCGGCGTCGTCCTCCGACGAGGATGAGGATTTCGACGACTGCCGGATCTCATTCTCCTCCGCCGTCTCCTCCTTCACTACCGTATCCAACGCCTCCCGGAAATTCTATTCGCCGGTGATGTCGCCGGATTACAATATCTGGATGGCGGCGCCGGGATCGATCTCTGAGCGCCGCCGCCGTCTCCTCCATAGTATGGGGCTGGCGAGCAGCAAAGACCTTCTCCACGCCGTCTCGATCCGTCGTCTTGTCTCTAACAAGTCCATTGTCATTAACGGTGAAGATAAGGAGAAAGAAGCCGACGCGAAACCAGATGAAGACAAGGATCACCGTGAAGAAGAGGCTCTTCAAGATCATCTGGTTCCGATTCTATTCACTCGGTCTAGATCGGAATCAGAGATTGAAAAATTCTCAACAGAGAAACGGAGGGAAGAGGAATTGCTTGGGAAAATATCGAAGCAACGCCTCACGAGAACGTCTTCAACGATCGCGGCGGCTCGAGCCAGAATTTATCAGTACCAAACCCCTGCGAGACCTTCCCCTGTGGTCCGTCGGAATGGACGAAATCCTACGCATTGTGGTTCCCCAGCATTGACATCTGTAGGTTCTAATTCCCAGTACGCTGCTTTCTTCTTAATAAAGAATTTAGACACAGGGAAGGAATTTGTAGTGAATGAATATGATGAAGATGGAATGTGGAATAGACTTAGTGATCTACAAACAGGAAAGCAGTTAACGTTAGAGGAGTTTGAGAAGTGTGTTGGGTATTCACCTGTTGTGAAAGAGCTTATGCGCCGAGAGAATGTGAATAGGATGAATTATGATTCGATCGTGGATCTTCGAAAACTGAATTCCTATCTGTCAAAGAGTGTGAGATTAAGCAAGAGAAGAGGGGCTGCTCTACTCAAGAACATAAAAGGTGTAGCTCATTCTATGAGTTTAAAGGTTGCCGAAAAAGATATCACCGGCAGTATTACCAATAGCCCAAAGAAGGGAACTGATCAAAAACATGGAAAAGCTAATCAGTGGGTGAAAGTGAGACAAACAGGAAAATCTTACAAGGAACTGAGCGCCTTGCATATGTGTCAAGAGATCCAAGCTCATGAGGGAGCGATCTGGACCATCAAGTTCAGTGCAGATGCACACTATCTAGCAAGCGCGGGAGAAGATCGTGTGATTCATGTGTGGGAAGTGCAAGAATGCGAAATCATGTCAATGGGTGAAGGGAGTCTCACACCGATTCATCCTTCACTATGTGACTCGATGGAAAGATCGTCAGCCATGAGTGAAAGTCCATTAGTTTTCCTAGAAAAGAAGAAGAAAGGGAAGGGCTCTTTAAGCCGAAGAGTCAATCATATTCCAGAATATGTTCATGTTCCGGAAACTGTGTTCTCCTTCTCAGAGAAACCCATCTGCTCTTTCAAGGGTCACTTGGATGATATCTTGGATTTGTCATGGTCCAAATCTCAGGTCAGCTTCTGAATCATTCATTGCTTGAAGATTTTGGAGATCTTCAAACAAGAACTATAATTAATGCTCACCCTGACTACGTTCTCCAAATGGAACTTGCAGCTGCTGCTTTCATCTTCCATGGATAAAACAGTCAGGCTATGGGATTTAGACAGCAGAAGCTGCCTCAAATTGTTTGCCCACAATGACTACGGTAAAACCCATCATCCTTTATCAGTGCCCATCAACCATTTCTCATAGTTTAATCTCTGTTGTACTCCACAAACACGTCCTTATCATGTTCCCCTGAATCAACAGTGACATGCATCCAGTTCAATCCATTAGACGAAAACTATTTCATCAGCGGATCACTTGACGCCAAGATTCGGATATGGAACATATCCGAGCGACATGTAGTGGAATGGAGCGATCTTCACGAAATGGTCACTGCTGCTTGCTACACCCCAGACGGCCAGGTATCGCTCCGTTCCTCAAGTCTACTTTAGATTTTTTTTAAAAATACCCATTCTGGTTCATGTTACGATTTTTTTTTCCGATGTGATCTCAATGATTGAAGGGTGCAGTTATCGGATCTCATAAAGGCGTTTGCCGTGTTTATGACGCAGAAGGTTCGAGTTCCTTTCGAATCTCAGAACGTTTCGTCCTACTCCATGAACAATTTTCTCGCAGCTGATCCATTTTTATTTGGTTAGAACAGATTGTAAGCTGAGTCAAACTAACCAGATTGATGTACAAAGCAGTAAAAAGTCTCAATCTAAAAAGAAGATCACTGGTTTACAGGTAACTTTCTCATTTTTTTTCCCCATGTTTTCCGACCGAAACATCGGTAATGTTCTTGTTCTGACACCACATACATAAATTGTCTGAATAGTTTTCTCCGGTGAATCCATCTGAAGTTCTTGTCACCTCTGCCGATTCTCGGGTCAGGATCTTGGACGGTTCTGAAGTTATTCATAAATTCAAAGGTACATGCGTAGAAGTTAGAATCAATCCTAACAGAAAATATAAAAAATATTAATTCATGAACTACCCATATAAATTTACTAATTTGTTGCCGATTCTCATATATATTATATTAATTCATGAACTTTGAATTTACTAGAAAATACACGAATTTTTCTGTATAAAAGACCGTGTTGAGAAAATTTATATATTTACACCAGATTTTTCTTTACATTATTTATATTTTCTAAACTGGCCATTAAAATATTGAATCATGGGATCTGGATCTGGATAAATATTAATTATGGTATCTGACCCGTATATCTGACATGATACATTAGAGATATTCCTAACACTAAGTATCATTAACTTTGGAAAAATCTTCCAAAACAGGATTCAGGAATACAAGCAGCCAAATCTCAGCATCGTATAGCCAAGACGGGAAGTACATCATAAGCGCGAGCGAGGATTCACAGGTCTACGTATGGAGAACTGACCACCACCGAACCGCCATGACTCGAGCCCACGAACACTTCCCATGCAAAGACGTCTCGGCCGCCGTCTCATGGCACGGCCACGTCAGAGGCGAGCCACCCCCCGTCCAGATCCACTCCAAACGCCATTCCAAACGCATCCAACCGCCCTCCACCGCCGGTTACCCCACCAAGGACGATAACCCAGCTCCTCCGGTTACCAGAAGGAAGCCCGGTTTACCACCTCTACCCAAGCAAACGCAGATGCAGACGCAAACGCACACGCAGGAGGAGGAAGAGGCGGGGCCGGAGGTGGGAAGGGGGGAGTCGTTCAGGTCGAGCTTCGGGGAATCGGCTTCTATAAACAATGCGTCGTCGAGGGCGTCATCGTGGTCGTGGTTAGACGTAGGAGGGGGTGGGGCCCACCAGACGGTGCAGCCGACGGCGTGGGGGATGGTCATTGTCACGGCCACGCTCGGCGGTGAGATCAGAGCTTATCAGAACTTCGGATTGCCACGTCGGATTGGCCGGCAGACCGCTCTCTTCTGACTTTCACTTTCACCGAGGGATTTGTGATTCTCTCTCTATCTCTCTGGCTTTTTGTAATCTGTTCACTCTTCTGATGATGGTAAAAAAAAAAACAGTTTTGGAAGGGTGTTTTTGTCTTTTTGTTGTTTGTAGAGTTACATTAACAGAAATGGGGGAGCAAAAAAAGTGTACGTAGTCTCTTCTTGTTTTGGGTTTAAATTGATCAAAGGATACAAGTTTGTGGTTAATAAATCTAGACGCGAAAAAATAATTAATTTCTGCATATTTTTTTCTATATTTATCAGAACAATCTGTTCAATGTATTTTTCTACAAGTATGGATAAAAAAAAATACAAGTTTCCATTTTTTTGACATCGACAAAAAAAGTACCAAGATTTTACATATAGTGTTGTGTAGGATATATACTATATGGGCCGTAAAAATAAAGGCCGACATGAAGTGAGCCTACACGAAAATAGGCCGTGACTCGATCCAGTAGATGACTCAATTTTTCATGTAGTCCAATATATATATATATATAAATAAATAATTTGAAGATAGAAACTTTAATGGTTAAGCTAATATCGATGTGTTAGAACGGGCATTTAAACAGCGTTTGGTTCTGGTATCCAATTCACGAGCGTTAGCATTTGCTCGACCTAAGTAGATGACTTTCAAACTATCATTCATATATATATGGCTTTTAAATTGCACCCAAGTTTCTGAACAGATCTGGACCAATTTACATGTCTCGATCGATAAAGACCGTCACTTCCACAATTATGATCCAAATTGTCACTATTATATATTCCATAAGAGATAAGACAATTAGGGTTTTGTTATTGACCATTAAAGGAAGTTATAGCTTTGTAGGTATCCACACATAGCTAATTGGTTCGGTCAAATCTATGAGCAAAGCTTCACCATGAAATGCATCTTTAACCTTTCTTTTTCTTCTCCATCTTTTTTATTATTTTGTCCCATTATCTCTTATTTAATTAAATAATTGTCCTGATCATACTCAAACTGACATCCTGCAACCAGAATTATTTATAAAAATTTATATACATTGAACACATTATCAACATGTTTGTGTGTAATCTGGTTGTTCCGATATTTGGAAAATAATGCGTTCGAATGGTTTTTCAAAGACTTGTTTTAAACTTCGGTCAAATTAGTGGAAATTTAGGTAAATTTTTACACAATTTTAAATTTACGCATTGATATTTTTTATACTTGCTTTGAATTTTTATTTATTAGGAATCATGTTTTCATCCAATTGAAAGTTCTATAAAATATCTAGTTGTCTATTTAAATTCTTCCCATTATCAATAATAATAATGACTGTTTTATAATTTGTCTTATATATATCTACAAATCGTACTCTTGAACATAGATAAAACGAAATCATGTTATATAATTCTATAAGATCATAATATTCAATACAAGCAGACGTACGTATATATACGGTTATACGTATATATTTTGTGTGTATATAGGTAAGTGTTCGTATGGAGATCGTAGATTCGTGTCAAAGAAGAACAGTTAAATAAATTTTAGTTTAAAATAAAAAAGATCGTCAATAATAATAGGCGTAGAAGGAGAGTGCTCCCTCACGCAAGCAATCACTGCATGAAAAACCGACAGCTAAAAAACAAAAAAAATAAAATAAATCCATCAATCAATCAAGGAGGCAGCAAAACTCACAATTACATTAACAATACCCATTTAAAATTTAAGCAAAACTCAAGCTTAAAAGGAAGAAACCATGACCTTTCTTTACATAAATTTAGTGACAAAACACAATTATAATAAATGGTTTAACTTTTTAAATTGTAATTTTTAAATGTAACATAAAATCTACGAGATTATCAAATTTAATTAATGTTTATAAAATTTATGTGAATAACTATCAATAACGAAAAGTGATCATATTAAAAAAAATATTAATTTATATAATAAATCTAATTTAAAAAGTTGTATTAATAACAAATAATTTAGTTTAAACTGATCGTCCTGTATTTGGAACCCTGACCCACAACTCCATTTTTACACACTTTAAACGTTCATCAACAAATATATTTTAATAAATGCACTATTGATATTATTGTATTGTATATATTATTTCACATGGCGACCTTCATTTGTTAACGTTAAATCATTAACGAAATGTACATAACGTAACGTTCCAAGAATCAATATATATATATATATATACACATGTATCACTACAAAAATAAATCCGTTGGAAATGGCCAAATTTCCGTTGGAAATTAATGTTTCCAACGGATTTCCAACGGATTTATCCGTTGGAATTTCGTCGTTAGAAATCGGTGTCCGTTGGAAAACCGTTGGAATTTTCAACGAATTTTCAACGAATTTTTCCGTTGGAATTTTCCAACGGATTTCCAACCGGCATCCGTTGGAATTTTCCAACCGATCCAACGGAATTTCCAACCGATATCCTTTGGAATTTTCCAACGGAATTTTCAACCGCATTCCGTTGGAATTTTCCAACGAAAAATTCGAAACATATTCCCGACCCGACCCCGACCCCGACACCGATCCCGACACCGACCCCGACCCCGACACCGACACCAATCCGATCCGACCAAACCACGATCCCGAAACTCACTTCCCAGCAGGTCATCCATCCTTCCACTGCTCCAGCTCAATCCTCCTTAACCCTAGAGTTCCAATTAGAACTCTTCCAACTCCTCCAAGTTAAACTTCTGATATCATATAACATTAATATATATATATATATTCAAATTCATATATATATTTGTTATGTATATGTATATGGTTAATATATATATATACACTTATTCGTATACATATATGTGTATACACACACACATCATATTTGTATATATAAAAATATATAAACACAAAATATATCTATATTTATACATATATAGATGTATAAATATATAAAATATTTGTTTATACGTATATATACACCTCCTTAATATACATATATATACGCATATATGTATATATATATATTCGAATTCATATAAATATATATATTTTTGTTATGTATATGTATATGGTTAATATATATATATATGCTTATTCGTATACATATATGTGTATATATACACATCATATTTGTATATATAATATCCGTTGGAAGTCCGTTGGAATTTTTTTTTAAAAAATTTCTAAATAAATTTCCAACCGGCATCCGTTGGAATTGTTTTCTAACAAACATCCGTTGGAACTCCGTTAAAAATTTGCAACCGATTTCTCCAACGTTAATCCGTTGAAAATTTCCAACGGATATCCGTTGGAAATACCGTTGGAAATTTCCAACCCAATTTTTCAATTGAATACGTTGAAAATTCCGTTAAAAATTTCCAACGGGTGTTTCCAACGGATACCCGTTGGAAATTTTCAACGGAATTTTAACGGAAATCGTCGTTGAAACGCCGTTGAAAACCGTTGAAAATCCGTTGGAATTCGAGGATTTTTTTGTAGTGTGTGTGTGTGGCTAACAAGGAATCTTTGATGCGAATATGTGTGGAACGTGTATGATTGATTACGGCATGAGGGAGAAACGTGATATGATACTCCTCTCATTAGAGAAAAGATTAGAATCGTACCACTTTATTTAATTATCCATATGTATATGATCCTTATAATGCTTGCATCGATCCATGTCTTTCCTAAAGATAAATAGACTATACATCCTTTTTTGTGTGTATGATCACGTCTTTATCAATAATAGACTACGCGCATTCCATATGTATCCTGACATTTATAAAACAATCATATATATATATAGAAATCCATTTATAAATTGTCTTAATAGTTTTTAGAAAAAAACCCGTCGTATATATACACTATAATATACCGAAAATCCAATTAAATGTGAATACATCGTATCATACGATCCATAACTAGTTTAGCATATATACTATATAATATATGTCAACTTCGCTTCCATCAAGTGAATTTCATTTTTAGAAATGATGTCTATTACAAATAGAGAAACTATTTATAATTTATTTCAAAGAGTTGGAAAATACACTATAGGCAAAAAAAGAAAAGAAAAGAAAATGAATAATTGAATGTTACTTATAGGAGAAATGTTACAACACATGCTATGAAAGCGAAAGCTGACATGGCCATGCACAGATTCACGCTGGTCTTCGTTTATATATGCCCTAGAATTTCACAGAAATCCATGCAAATCTTCTACGTATGCATATATATAATCACATATATAATTGTACATAGACTGATATACATATACATGATTCAATGATAAGATTTAGGCTTGGATTTCCGAGCCGTATGCTGCTGTTGGGGCTTTGTCCTAGAAATATTCTCTCTTGACTGTATATATATATATATTCGCAAGAATTATATATATTTTTTTAAAAAAGGTCACCGACCAAAAGATGAGACTATCACATATTCCTACATCTTACTATCTCCCATGGTGAATCATGCGCCATTACAATCTTACACACCCCTATGCATAGATAAAGAAATATGGAATTATGTATTGTTTTTCAGTTTTTATACCGAAATAGATATATATACGTCATAATTCAAACCTAATATGCAGAATGTTATATTGAGAGTTACTGTCGTATAAAAAAAATTACATTGGAGACATCACATGTGATTTGGTTGAATACTAGACCTCTAACTTTAAAGTTGAAGGTTCAAATTCTCTTACCTATATCATGTGTGAGTCTATTAGTTATAGACAATTATAAAATGATTTATATATTTCGTATGATTTGCATGCTATTACATGAGAGTAGAGATTTACCTATTTTGTGTCCGAATAATAGTGACTATGAGTCCCATATTATAAAAAAAACATTACATTTATTTATATGAATACATGAAAGTAAATACATGTATGAAAGCACAAATATATAAGGATATTTATGACAGAGTAATTTGACCTAAATACATGTATGAAAGTACAAATATGGACATTCTCTTATGACATAATTAACTAACCCTTTATTATATTCTGTATCTAAATTATTCAATTTAGTTCACAAGAAAAATTTCAACAGAATTCCAGCTATTCATTTTATTCACCGTTGAATAAGAGCAATATAAAAAAAAAAGTAGATTTAATTGATCTACATTTTATTATCAGCCAAATTATTACTTTTTCCCATCCTCTCAAAATAAATAAACTGTATCAGCTTTACAAATATTATTTATTATGGAGCTTTAATTAGTTTTTTTCTTTTAATGCTTTCAAATATATTCGAAGCTTCGTTT